GTTCACTGCAGTACAAATCTAACTACTAAGACCATGCTAATGTAAGAAATACAAGAATTTGTCTGAAATAAGGAGAAGAGTAACCAATGACAAGGGAACTAAAAACTGAAACTATGATTATATTGGAAACAAATTCGTACAAAACCTCAAAAACTTGAGTGGAACAAAAGAGTTTGAGGAGGTACATAAAAGACAATTGGAATCTCGAATAACAAACTGATGGTGTCCAAAATAGTTTTTCTGGTAGTCCTTTCGACAACATGTATATTCCATTCCAGTAACACTCACCTTCACACTGGTGTGGATCACCAACGTAGCCATCGCTGCACATACACGAAACACCGGTACTCATGTTGACGCAATGCGCTGGAAATTCACAATTTGTCATTTCTGGATCAATACTACAAAACGCGATTCCTTGGGTCTGGACTAGTGAAAAGTAAGCCATACACAATATTAAAATTATTCTGCATCAGCTTCAAGCTCATGTGTATAACTCATTAAAACTAACTGTACAAATAATTTTGTCTAATTCGAAAAGTCCCCGAAAATAATATAGTTATACTTTAGTGTACCTTTGTGGTTGCTATTGCTTACTAAAAATTCATTGATAAAATTAATTGGTTGATAATATTCTTTTAAAATCAAGCAAACTGTTTTAGCCCTTACCCATTTGAGTTATGCCTACAGTTTGCCATTGGCATAAAGAAAAGCATAGAATAGCGAGGAAAGCAGCGCCACATTTGAATACAACTGAATACCAGCACAGGCAAGAGAAGAACGTACACTTTCAATCTTGTCATGTTGTCCGATCGCTAACTTTAGAAAAAGCAAAAAATAGCGTATGCCTATGTTTGGGATACTGTGTATGCTCCTGCCCCTGCACTTTGTCCTATCCATGTTCCAGCTCCTATTTTCTCTCTTATTCCTGCTCCTTGCACAGTACCCCGTTCACCCTTGCTGCTGCGCCCGCCAACAATCCCACTCCTATTCCTACTTAAGTTTCTGTCCTTTCTTCTACTCTTTCTCCTGTTCTTTTTCCTCCTCCTGTTTTTCTCGTACACCTAATTCTGCTCATATTCGTTTCCCAGCTGCCGCTTATTCTCTTTTCCTTGCTACCACTCTTTCTCATTCTCCTGCTCCTGTTCACGCCCTTTTTCCGGCAACTGCTTCTCATCGTGCTCCAGCTCCTGATCCTGCTCATGCTCCTGCTCCTCTTGCTACTGCTGCTATTACTACTAATCCTGCTAATACTACTGCGCCTCCCTCTTCTGCTTCTTTTCTTCCTCTTTATTCTCTTCTTGCTCTTATCTCTGCCCTTACCTATGTCGCGATGTATTAAGGACAACAAAACGAGCAACTTAATGTGTTTACAAGCTGTTTATGTGCACATGCCTGCACTTATAATGAAATCGCTGCTGTTCTCGCTTTTCTAATGCTTATGCTCGGCTTATGCGTATTCTCATGTCACAAGAACTGAACAACCTTAAAAGTAAATTATTTGCATGATACTGTATACACAAAAGGAAACAACTCACGAGCGTCGACACAAGATGTCTTGGATATTGAGTCGGCCTTTGCTACTAAATCGTTGAATTCAGTGGCTCGAAATATATCGTCGTCCTCTTCAGTAACATTCTTCATCGCTGACATGTCAATATTGTTCCCAATAGTAACAGCATAGATGCGAGCAGCTTTGGAACGAAGTAGCTGTACTGTATCTGCTATTGGTATGTAAGGTGGATCACGCCATCGATTTTGTTTTCCATCAGTCAACAATATCACTAGTTTCTGAGTTTCGTTCGAGCCTTCTGATGAAAAATACTCATCATAGGCCAGACGAAGTGCGAGGTCAATACGGGTGTACCCTCTGTCATACGGGATATTGTCCACCGCCGAAGCGAACGATAACGCTGTGTTCTTCGAGCCCAGCGGAACTGCGTTGGAAGCGTAAGTACTAAATGCAATAACAGCAGCTTGGCTGGTTGTCCCTAGTTCATATCTGCTTGTCACAATCTTAATGAAATCTTTTTCTTTATCGTAATTGTCTGCTCCAACACTCCCTGATGCGTCGAGTAGAAAGATGAGATCCAGTTGTGCTTGGCATTTCTCTGAAGCTGAGGAATAAATGGAATGCAGCATTTGCCCAGGTTTACAGGATGAAGAGGAATTCACCCCTAAAAAATACCCTAGTTAGGCTTAGTTAGGCCTACAGATCAACACACGATGAGTGTGCCTATTGTTGGGGCAAAAACACACATAACTAAACCTAGAATTATCTAGTTAAGTATTAAGGGAGGCCAACAAACCTTAATATTTCCTTTATTTTTGTTATCTTCAAAGAAAAAGCCTTTTCGTCCTGTTATTTGGTAGCCTTGACGGCCGCTAGTACTGCGGTCAAAGTTTTAACGACACATGTACTTTTAACTTAGCCCTTAAAAGACCAAACGTTAGCATTCGCAGTTTGGATTTAATTATCTTCTTAATTACTTGGAACTCCGATGGAATAAACATATTCCCCATTACCACCAGGCCTTCGGTAAAGCTAAATCGCCCAACAGTAAAAATTCATGGAAGCTGACCTCAGTATAAAATCAACCCAACTTTCCAGTCTACTCCACTTTGCCACTTGATTTGGTTGCTTGCTTATTTGTTGACTTGTATTCGTTTCAAAGTCCTTGCAATGTAAAGTCCTTAACTGCATCGCAAATTATTATATAAACTTTGTCATTTAGATTTTCAAACACACATCAAGGAAATGGTTACAGCGAATACCTTCACAGGTCAATCCGTCACCCTCAAAGCCGCCCTTGCATTTACAAGCAAACTCTATCGGTAAAATCATTTGTACAGTCCGCGTTCTGATCACAATGCTGAACACATTCGTATCGCTTTTTTCCTTGTTTAACCATAATTATAACAACGGATAATTTAGAGAATGCACGTACAGGCTCGAGGCTTCTGACACCAATCCGTGACAAAAACTACTCACATAAAAACTTATAATGTTCTCCCAGTTCTCTTACGTGTAAACCTCTGATACATTGAAAGGAGCTGGATATCACCTTGGTCAGAAAAAGACCTAAATTTAAAAACAAAAACCTGCACAATGCATGCTCATGTCTGCTTACCAGCCTTATCCTGAGGTGGACGCTAGACTTTATCCGTTTATTAGGCATTTGCACTTCTTTGTTACTCTTCTTCTAATTTAAATTTTTAGGTATACTGAATAATTGATGGAGTTTATTGATGGCTTTTTCCTTGTATTAATCGGAAACGAAAGACGGTAGAGTAGGAATTCTCATTCATATTTAAAAAGAATTTAATTGTCACCTACGCAGGGGAAGCCGAATGGTGTTCCGAAGACTCGTCCGGCACGGCATGTTAAGTAAGAATGCTTATTCTTTCGAAGGTTCTGCTTAGAGAAGAGGTTTTCGAAGAAAACGCACCTCGTCGAAAGAGAATTCTTCTTTAGCGAATTATAAATAAATGTAATGTAAAACACTTTACCTGTCTTTAAACATTCGTTTGACTTAAGTTGATTATCAAGTTCACAAGATACTTTTTTCTCATACTAACGGTGGATTACGTGTTACAGAAACCATACAATACGCATGCTTGGGTATGTAGCAGACTTCTTTGAACTAGAAATAGTGATAACAATGCTAGTCTTAATTCAGGTTATCTGCCGCACGCTCTTAAACAGGTATAAACTGCATGAGCCCACAGAGGAACTCCGAGACCCCACGGATTCAACAGACAAGCATAATAACAACG